TCAATCGAGACAGAACACGAAAGGAAAGGGAACAACTGAAAGTGAGAGCAAGACAAAACCAGTGGAAGGAAAGAGACACAGGACAGGCAATGACAGACAGGAAAGCTCAGCCTTTGGGGAAACATCAAACACAAATGCTTACAGAAACCTCTCAACACCTGTCACCACATATCAACCAAACATAGTAAACAGAAATGAATCTCACTCCATAGCCACCCCCCCCCAAGCACTAATTCCACAATCACAGCAGCCTCACATAATATTGTGCCCTGCCTCCCACCCTCCCAGCCTGCACCTTCCTCTTCCATCTCCCAAAATACAGTAATGGAAAGGAAGCTAAAGGTATGGTACACCAATGCAGATGGAATAACAAATAAGAGTGAAGAGTGGCAAGAATGCATCACTGATGCATCACCTGATATCATAGCACTTAGAGACAAAACTTACAGGGATGATAACAGATGCAATTATTCCACCTGGATATCAGATTATGAGGAAAGACAGAGAGAACAGAGGAGGGGGAGGAGTAGCATTGCTCATAAAAAAACCAGTGTAGTTTTGAGGAGATGGGAGGAATGGAAAGAAGGGAAACAGACGACTTCATTGTAGGAACGCTTCAGACTGGGGGTTCAAAGGTGATGATAGCAGTGATGTATAACCCACCACTTAACAGCAGGAGAACAAGAGAAGAGTATGATGTGCACAATAGGGCAACAGTGGATACACTAGCTGAAGTGGCCAGGAGGGCTCATATGGGTAGGATAAAATTGCTTATAATGGGGGACTTCAATCATAGAGAGATTGACTGGGAAAACCTAGAGCCATATGGGGGGCCAGAAACATGGAGGGCTATTATGTTGGAGACTGTACTGGAGAACTTCATGGACCAACATGTTAGGTATAGAACCAGAGAGAGGAGAGGATTTTGTAGCAAGGCTGGATCTCATATTCACCTTGAATAGTTCAGACATAGGGGATATCACCCACGAAAGACCCCTTTGCGCTAGTGATCATGATGTCCTGAATTTCGAATATCTTGTAGAGTTAACACTGAAGAATGCAGCATCACCGAACTTCAAAAAAGGGGACTACATAGGAATGAGAAGTTTCCTACATGAAGTACAGTGGGAAAGAGAACTAGATGGAAAGACAGTAAATGAAATGATGGAAATAGTGACCACTAACTGCAGGGAGGCAGAGGAAAGGTTCATATCAAAGGGCAACAGAAAAAATGGTAAGACCAGAGTGAGCCCATGGTTTTTTTGGAGGTGTAAAGAGGTCAAAGCCAAGTGTGCTAGAGCATGGAAAAGGTATAGAAGGCAAAGGTCTCAAGAAAACAAGGAGCTGAGCAGAAGAACCAGAAACGAATATGCAATGATAAGGAGAGAGGCCCAGAGGCAATACGAGAACGACATAGCATCAAAAGCCAAATCTGAACCAAAGTTGTTATACAGTCACATTAGGAGTAAAACAACAGTCAAGGACCAGGTAATCAGGCTGAGGAAAGAAGGAGGGGAGCCCACAAAGAGTGATCAAGAAGTATGTGATGAACTAAACAAAAGATTTAGAGAAGTGTTCACAATAGTCAGGAATGCTTCCAGCAAACTGTGGAGGTAGGATGCAAGAGCAGGTGCTGGACACAATACACATAACCAAGGCAGAGGTGAAGAAACTGCTACCTTGATACCTCAAAGGCTGTTTGCCCAGATAGCATATCTCCATGGATACTGAGAGAGGGAGCAGAGGAACTGTGTGTGCCCTTAGCAGCAATTTTCAGTAAATCTATCGAAACAGGGCAGTTGCCCGAGGCGTGGAAGACAGCACATGTAGTTCCAGTTTTTAAGAAAGGGGACACACAGGCAGCATTAAACTACAGACCAGTGTCACTGACTTGTATAGTATGTAAAGTCATGGAAAAGATTATCAGGAGAAAAGTGGTGGAACACATTGAAAAGATTGGGCTCATACATGAGTCAGCATGGCTTCAGAGATGGGAAATCCTGTGTCACAAATCTACTTGAGTTCTACGATAAGGTAACAGAAGTAAGACAGGAGAGAGAGGGATGGGTAGATTGCATCTTTTTAGACTGCAAGAAGGCTTTTGACACAGTACCACACAAGAGACTGGTGCAAAAATTAGAGGAGCAGGCAGGAATAACGGGGAAAGTACTGCAATGGATCCCGAAATACCTGACAGGAAGAAAACAACGAGTGTTGGTACGTGCTGAAGTGTCGGAGTGGGGGAATATGTCTAGTGGGGTTCCACAAGGTTCAGTCCTAGGCCCGGTGCTGTTTCTTGTATACGTGAATGACATGGTGGAAGGAATAGATTCAGAAGTGTCACTGTTCGCCGATGATGTGAAACCAATGAGGAGAATACAAGTGGGCGAGGATCAGTTAAGATTACAAGGGGATCTGGACAAACTACAAATATGGTCTGACTAATGGCTTCTGGAGTTTAACCCCAGTAAGTGTAAGGTCATGAAGATTGGGGAAGGACACAAAAGACCGCAGACGGAGTACAGGTTAGGAAACCAACAGCTGCAAACGTCAATTAAAGAAAAGGATCTTAGGGTAAGCATTATAACGAACATGTCCCCTGAGGCACACATCAATCAAATAACTGCTGCAGCATATGGGAGATTGGCAAACCTGAGATTGGCATTTAGACGTCTGAGTAATGAGTCATTCACGACATAGTACACAGTGTACGTAAGGCCTATACTGGAATACGCAGCTCCAGTATGGAACCCTCACTTAGTTAAACACGTCACGAAATTGGAGAAAGTGCAAAAATTTGCAACACGATTATTCCCGGAACTGAGGGGTATGTCTTATGAGGAGAGGTTAAGGGAACTCAACCTGGTGACACTAGAGGATAGGAGGGATAGAGGGGACATGATAACGTATAAAATACTAAGACGCATTGACAAGGTGGACAAGGATCGAATGTTTCAGAGGTGGGATACAGAAACAAGGGGACACAATTGGAAGCTGAAAACCCAGATGAGTCATAGGGATGTTAGCAAGTATTTCTTTAGTCATAGATTTGTCAGGAACTGGAATAATTTGGAAGCAAGTTCCATAAATAGCTTCAAGAAGAGGTATGACAAATGTCATGGAGCAGGGAGAGACTGAATTAGTATCGACCAGTGAAGAGGCGGGGCCAGGAGCTATGACTCAACCCCTGCAACCACATATAGATGAGTACATATAGGTGAGTACACACACACACAAATCCCACCCCCACACACACACTACATACAACTGAGGAAATAGTGAAGAGGCTTCTAAGCGAGCTAGACACCTCAAAGGCGATAGAGCCGGATAACATCTCTCCATGGGTCCTGAGAGAGGGAGCAGAGGCGCTATGTACGCCTAACAACAATATTCAACACATCTATCGAAATAGGGAGATTGCCTAAGGTATGGAAGACCGCAAATATAGTCCCAATTTTTAAAAAAAGGGGATAGGCAAGAAACACTAAACTATAGACCAGTGTCAATGACGTGTATAGTACGCAAAGTCATGAAGAAGAATATCAGGAGAAGAGTGGTGGGACACCTAGAAAGAAATGAGCTTAAAAGCCAACACGGTTTCAGGGACGGGAAATCCTGTGTCACAAACCTACTGGAGTTCTATGACAGAATGACAGCAGTAAGACAAGAGAGAGAGGGGTGGGTAGATTGCATTTTCTCTGACTGTAACAAGGCGTTTGACACAGTTTCACACAAGAGATTAGTGCAAAAACTGGAGGACCACGCAGAGATAACAATGAAGGCACTACAGTGGATCATGGAATACGTACTTGTCAGGGAGACAGCAGCGAGTCATGGTACTTGGCGAGATGTCAGAGTGGGCACCTGTGACGAGTGGGGTTCCACAGGAGTCAGTCCTAGGACCGGTGCTGTTTCTGGTATTTGTGAACAACATGACGGAAGGAATAGACTCTGAAGTGTCCCTGTTTGCAAGTGATGTGAAGTTGATGAGGAGAATTCAATCGGACGAGGACCAGGAAGAACTACAAAGAGATCTGGGCAGGCTGCAGACCTTGTCCAGCAACTGGCTCCTGGAGTTCAACCCCGGCAAGTGCTAAGTAATGAAAATTTTTTAAGGGCAGATAAGACTGCAGACGGAGTACAATCTAGGGGGACAGAGACTACAAACCTCACTCAAGGAAAAGATCTTGGGGTGAGTATAACACCGGGCACATCTCCTGTGGCGCACATCAATCAAATAACTGCTGCAGCATATGGGCGCCTAGCAAACCTAAGAACAGCATTCCGCCATCTTAAAAAGGAATCGTTCAGGACCCTGTACACTGTATATGTTAGGCCCATATTAGAGTATGCGGCACCAGTTTGGAAACCACATCTTGCCGAGCACGTAAAGAAACTAGAGAAAGTGCAAAGGTTTGCAACAAGACTAGTCCCATAGCTAAGACGGTATGTCCTACGAGGAGAGGTTAAGGGAAATCGACCTGTCGACACTGGAGGACAGGAGAGATAGGGGGGACATGATAACGACATATAAAATAATGAGAAAAATTGACAAGCTGGACAAATAATGTTCCAGAGATTGGACACAGCAACAAGAGGACACAGTTGGAAATTGAAGACACAGATGAATCACAGGGATGTTGTCAGGAAGTCGAATAGTTTGGGAAGCGATGTAGTGGAGGCAGGGTCCAGTCATAGCTTTAAGCAGATGTATGATAAAGCTCACGGTTCAGGGAGTGTGACCCAGTAGCGACCAGTGAAGAGGCAGAGCCAGGAGCTGTGACTCGACCCCTACAACCACAAGTAGGTGAGTACACACACCACACACACACACACACACACACACACACACACACACACACACATTCATCAAGCACTCATTTATTTTCCAAGGTGAAAGTTGCACCTACACATAAATCAGCGCTGACAGATTGACGGCATAGAAAACAAATATACCTGTTTAACCAATTTATCTTCTTGGTGTTCTTGTCACCGCCCAGATGCAACTGTATCCGGCACGGGGACAGAGACGTGGGTGTGGGAGGAGGTCAGCCCACAGCAGCTTCCAAAATGTGTTCGAGTGGGCGCGACCACGCCTCCCGTATTTCTCACGATGATGATGACGACGATGATGATGATGAGGACGGTCCTGACGTAGTTAAAACCGCCAACGGTAAGATGTTTCATTAGTTAGATACTTAAGTAATAAGATGTTACAACGATAAGTTGCTTCAACATTAAGATATTTCAGTACTAAGATGCTTAGTAATAAGATGTTTCAACAGTAAGATGCTTTAACAGTAAGATGTTTCAAGAGTGTGATGTCACAACGGTATGATGCTCCAACGGTAAGATGCGCAATCAGTTAACTAAGGTTATGGAAGTTTCAATATCATTTAAATCAACATATTTTATATTAAATAACTTTTTATAAAGTTCGGCTTCAGTTGCTACGTCAGTTGACACTTAAAAAATTCCACAAATTAACTGTTTCCTTTTACGTAGAGAAACGCGTCATTCAGTGGATGAAATTGTTTGTTATGTTTAGTAGAATCGTCTAGTTTTTCAGCAGTGACACAAATGAACTGATAGGACAAGGAGTCTCGCTCGCACACTGGAAAATGAAGTCGTTTACTTTTTGTCTTTTCAGAAACAGCACAGCTCCTGGAGGGGCAAAAATGTCCTGAAATCGTTCCGACGAGAAGATCGCAATCGTACACACATACTACGGTAAGTTTGGGATAAATGGAACCTGAGATACATATTTCTCAGCGCATGCATGCTGAGCGGTTAGTTTATTCACTGTTTTGGAGATTAGATTATTTTTGATTGGTCAACATTGGTCAATCTTCATGACCGTGTTGTTGATAAGCTTTAAATGGAATATATATTATAGATTCTGAGGAATATATCTATCTTGATTGTCTCTATTTGGAGCAACATGACACAAGTCTCACCGCCTAACAACACTGAAGAAAATACCCATGTGTAGAACAAATCTTAATTGTAATTACGTTTCACTCTGTATAAAAAAAATACCACAAGTTCTTTTACACTTGTTTTGTCTCTTCATCAGTGTACATACGTATTTAGAGGAGTTCATTAGCCTCAGAACTTTCAAAAGTTTAATTCCGGCAGACCTGGAGTTTCTGTCACTTGAAAATTATCATATATTTGGATAACGGATCTCACATGAAGGGGAAGTAAAGTTTAAACATTATCTGAAATTTGTGTTATTAATGGATTTGTAAGATGCGCTAAACCCATGTGGGTCATTCGGCGCAAGCAGTGGCGGAGGATCGAGCCTTCGTTTGCTAGCACACACAGACTTGACTTTTGCAGAGACGAAAAAAAGTATAAGTTACACATGCTGACGAGAAGCAGCTCGGTCATCACGCTTTATTAGTGAAAAACAACACCTACTAAATCTTTTCCCTGATCGAAAATAAGTGAAGGAGGAATTGGCTACATTTTGTTGTTCTCAGCAGTAAATAGGTACCCGGTTGTTCATAGACTGTTCTGGGTCGCCTTCCAGAAAAAAAAAATATTTCGCAGGATACAAATAGGTACCAAGATATAAACAACCACACACACACCACACACACACACACACACACACACACACACACACACACACACACACACACACACACACACAAATATATGACCAAGTGTTTATTGACAAGTGAGTTTGACAAATACACACACACACACACACACACACTCTCACAAGAACACAGAAAAAAAACTCAGATACGTAGGCCTGTACAGAGCTGTTTGCACACAGGAAGGGCAGGGACTGAAGGTTCGCCACTATTAAGCTGCTATCTAAGGAAACCCGACAACAGCAAAACCTGGAGCCCATACGTCAGAAGAGAAAGAGAGGCAGAAGGGTAATGAACTGAGAGTGTAATGATTGTAGCAGGGCTTAGGAGCAAGACGGAAAATGAGTGGGAATTTTTTTTTTTTTAGTGTTTTTACAGAATGATGGAAGAGAACAGGGAACGGGAGAGAGAGGCTGCAGCTGCAGAGGCAAGGGTGCAAAGCCTGGAAGTGGATCTGAAAGAGCTGAAGAGGGACCTGAAGCTGATGAAAGAAAGAGATATTTAGATGATAGCAGGAATAATAATAGTTGAGGAACTGAAGGAAAAGAGGAAATTGAAAAGAAGACCTTTTCGGAAATACTGTCAGGCAACTAGGAAGTGCAGATGATAAGGGGATCAGGAAAGGAAGTAGGGAGAGAGAGAGGTTGCTGATTTCCCATGGGAGGAGTCATGATGAAATAAAATAGATGGAGGAACAGGATATTCAAACTATCATAAACCTAACAGGTGCGGAAATTGAAGTGATCCTCACGACAAATTTTCAAAGTTTTGGAAAGTACCTCGCAACAGAAATGGCACGAGACAGGATCATGCAGCAGAAACAAGGGTTGTGGTTGACAGAGAAATACCACTGGGTGCACCTAGACTGGAACAGAGCAAAAAGGTGAGTGGGAAGAAATGAGAAAGTACAAAGACGCTAGAGGTGGGAAGGAGAGACAGGGCATGCATCGGCAGCCATGAAAGCTCAGCCATCGGAAGACTGCCAGGTACACGCACACAATAGACTTCCATCAAGACCTAGCCTCCTTTCCCACCCAAACACGATAACCAAAACAAGCCATATCCTGCCCTCTTACTCACACCCACAGTGCCTATACCCCCATCACAAGTATCTTCCTCACAACTGCCTCTCACTCTTACTCCCAAGACTCCATGTCCCGTTTCACTCAAACTTCCTCGCTCATCCCCATCTGCATCTAGGATCCTAACTTGTTTAAGGATTCTATGAACCGGAACACAATAACCGAGAGGAAGCTGAAAGTATGGTACTCCAAAGCAAACAGAATTACAAATGAGAATAATGAATGGGACGAACAAATAGTTGAGGCATCCCCAGATATAGCTAGTATTCACAGAGACAAAATTCATGGAGATGATAATGAAACGTTCTCAGCTGGCTATTAGATTTTCAGGAAAACCTAACTTAACAGAGAAGGTGGGGACTAGCACTGCTTATGAGAAACCAGTGGAGTTTTAAGGAGACGAGAGGAATGGACAGAGGAGAAGAAGATGGCCACATAGTTGGCATGCTGAAGACCGGGGATCCCAAGGTGGTGGAAACAGTGATGTCCAATTTTCCACTAAACAGCTAGAGACCAAGAGAAAAATATGATGAAAACAGAGCAATGGCAGGTAAATTGAATGTGGTGGTTAGAAGAGCCTACGTGATAATTGCAAAGCTTAACCTTAAGAATATTGACTGGGAGAAACTATGGCCACGTTGAGAACTTCATATTAGGATCACAACCAGAAAGGAAGAAGGAGATGAACCAGCAAGGCTACATTTTGTATTCATTCTGAGTGGTTCTGAGAGAGGGAATATTGCAGATGAAAAGCCCCTCAGTGCTAGAAACCTCGTGATCCTGAGTTTGATATATTGTGGAAGTAGTAGCAGAGAGAGAAGCAGCACGGGAAGGATTTGAGAATGCAGCACCAGTTTGAAACCCACAACTGGTCAAACACATCAAGAAATTAGAGAAAGTGCAGAGGTTTACAATGAAACTAGTTCCGGAGCTAAGGAGGGGAGGGTCTCCTGTGAGGCGAGGTTAAGGAACTCACCCGATACACTCAAGGACAGAAGGAATTCGGGCGATTTGATAATTCGATATCGAGCAAAATACCTTGAGGTATTTTTGATAGAGTGAAGAGGAAGAGATTGTTTGGAAAAATAAAAACAGGAAGACGAGGGTACAGCTCAAAGTTGACAACACTGATGAGTCACAGGGGCGTTAGGAAGTATTTCACTCTCCTGTGGCTCTCGAAGCCACATGAGTGACCCTAGTCATGACCAACGAAAAGGTAGGGCCAAGAGCTGAAACTCGACCCCCGTAACGATATATATAGGTGAGCGAGTGCACACACACACATACACACACACACACACACACACACACACACACACACACACACACACACACACAACATTCACTCGTTCGTTACACATATTGAGGATTGTTTTGATTTCCGATTCATTTACGTCATCTCCAGCCTCAGCTGAAGGTTTAAGTAACTGTTGTGTTGTGTTTTCCCAGGTGATAGGCGCGTCAGGGTCTAGTGAAGGACCTCAACTCACACCCAACGGCACTGGTGGTCGAGCCTTGTACAGGGACGCAGGCAGTCCTCATCACCTAGGTCGTGACGAGAGCTTTGTATAACTGGGACCTCATCACTATTGGTTCCTGAATGTACAGCGCCGCCCGTAATTCCTGTAGGAAGCTGATCAGTTTTGCTACACCTTAAATAGAGGTCAGACAAATCAGCTATACCTGGAGCAGAGGTCAGGCTGATTAACCATACCTGTAGCACATGTCAGGGAGACTACCAGCTTCACCTAGATCGGAAGTCAGTGAGGATATTCTGGTCAGTCAGTTATTCTGGCCACCGACCACACCTGAAGGTCGTAGACAACATCTGAGTAACGTTAGCACACTTATAGGCTTTTCGCCAAATGTGCAGGTCACCGGCTTCACTAGGATCAACAGTATCGATCGCCAGAATGCTGTTTCATTCCTTAAACACATTGTTGTGGGAGGTATTCAGCAGTATCGACAAGAGTGTCAAAACTTTCCACACACAGCCAGGATGAAAGCTGCCTTGATGAAGGGTCGCCCCATCTGGCAACACGAAATGTAACTTAGTGTAAATGTAACGCTGAATGTGTGTGTGTGTGTGTGTGTGTGTGTGTTGTGTGTGTGTGTGGTGTGTGTGTGTGTGTGTGTGTGTGTTTGGAGGGAATAAATGCGTGAGTGTCTCGATGTTCCAAGTCTGTGTATGCATTTGTGTCTTACATGTATGAATATCCTGGGAGGTGACGACTACTACAATACTACAGCACTCTGACTTCCCTGCCATCCCCATGATTTCCTCATCAGTACTTGGATTATGTTGTCGAAGTGATGAACATTTACGAAAGATGCCAAACATTGATAAAAAATTATGTTAATTGTAAGCCGTTTGTAATACACAATATTTCTTTTTTATTTGTACAAATTATTATTATGAATATATATATATATATATATATATATATATATATATATATATATATATATATATATTATATTATATATATATATATACATAAACATCTGCCGATTCCCACCAAGATAGGGTGGTCCAAAAGAGAAAAACTTTCACCATCATTCACTCCATCACTGTCTTGCCAGAGGCGTACATACACTACAGTTATAAAAGTGCAACATTGACACCCCCCCCCACTTCAGAGTGCAGACACTGTACTTCCCATCTCCAGGACTCAAGTCCGGTCTGCCGGTTTACCTTGCTCACACCCCAACAGCACGTCAAGTCCTAAAAATCATTTGTCTCCATTAGCTCCTATTTAACACGCTCACTCATGCTTGCCGGAAGTCCAAGCCCCTCTCACACAAAAATCTCGTTCACCCCCTCCCTCCAACCTTCCTAGGTCGATCTCTACCCCGCCTTCCCTCCACTACAGATTTATAAACTCTCGAAGTCATTAAATTTTGTTCCATTCTCTCTACATGTCCGAACCACCTCAACAACCCCTCCTCAGCCCTCTGAATAATAGTTTTGGTAAATCTGCACCTCTTCCTGATTTCCAAATTACGGATTCTCTGCATTACATTCACACCACATATTGTGCAAGAATGGTATATAATACCGACAAGATGAAATTAAGACACACGTCTACAATAAAGATACCCAGATGCTGCACATGTGTCTTAATTTCACACCACACATTGCCATCAGCTACATCTCCCCTGCCTCCAGCCTTCTCCTTGTTGCAACATTCACCACCCATGATTCACACCCATGTAAGAGCGTTGGTATAACTGTACTCTCATACGTTCCCCTCTTTGTTTCCATGGACAAACTTCTTTGTCTACACACACACTTAAGTGTACCACTCACCTTTTTCCCCTCGTCACTTCTTTGATTCACCTCATCTTTCATAGACGCATCTGTTCACGCGTCCACTCCTAAATAACTGAACACATTCACCTCCTCCATATTCTCTCCCTCCAACCTGATATCCAGTCTTTAGTTACCTAATTTTTTTTTGTCCTCATTGCCTTACTCTTTCATATATTCACTTTTAATTTTCTTCTTTTACGTACCCTTCCAAACTCTTCCACCAACCTCTGCAGCTTCTCTTCAGAATCTCCCAAAATCACAGTGTCATCAGCAAAGAGCAACTGTGACAACTCCCACTTTGTGTTGGATTCTTTATCTTTGTAACCCCACACCTCTTACCAACACACGAGCATTCACTTCTCTTACAAACCCATCTATAAATATTTAGAGCAATAATTGTGACATCACACGTCCTTGTCTAAGGCCTACTTTTACTGGGAAAAAAATTCCCTCTCGCCTACATACTCTAACCTGAGCCTCACCATCCTCGTAAAAACTTTTCGCAGCTTTCATTAACATACGTGCTATTCCATACATCTGCAACATCTGCCACTTTACTCCCCCTATCCACCTTGTCATATGCCTTTTGCAAATCCATAATTGCCATAAAAACCTCTTTACTCATAAATACTGTTCACCTATGTTTCACCAAGTGGTCTACACACCCCCTGCCCTTCCTAAAGCCTCCTTTTTCATCTATCCTACTTTCCGTCTTACTCGTAATTCTTTCAATAATAACTCTACCATACACTTTACCAGATACACTCAACGGATTTATTCCCCTATAATATTTGCACTCTCTTTTGTCCCCCTTGCCTTTATACAAAGGGAATGTGCATGCTCTCTGCCAATCCCTAGGTAACTTACCCTCTTCCATACATTTATTAAATAAATGCACCAACCACTCGAGAACTATATCCCCACCTGCTTTTAACATTTCTATCTTTATCCCATCTATCACAGCTGCATTACCCTCTTTCATTCTACCCACTTCCTCACGAACTTCCCCCACACTCGCAGCTCGCTTCTTCTCACTCCTACACGATGTTATTCCTCCTTGCCCTATACACGAAATCACAGCTTCCATATCCTCATCCACATTTAACAGTTCCTCAAAATATTCCTTCTGTGTTCCCGATACCTCTAACTCTCCATTTAATAACTCCCCTCTCCTGTTTTTAACTGACAAATCCATTCGTCCCTTAGGCTTCCTCAACTCACTCCGAAATCATTTCTTATTTTCAACAAAATTTGTTGAAAACATCTTACCCACTCTCTCATTTGGCCTCTTTTTACATTGCTTCATCACTCTCTTAGCCTCTCTTTTTCTCTATACATATACTCTTCCCTCCTTGCACCAATTCTACTTTGTAACAACCTCTCATATGCTAACTTTTTCTCTCTTACTATTTTTTGCATCATCATTCCACCAATCGCTCTTCTTCCCTCCTGCACCTACTTCCCTGCAACCACAAATTTCTGCTGAACACACTAACACTACATTTTTAAACCTACCCCATATATCTTCAACCCCATTACCTGTACTTTCACTAGCCCAACTGTCCTCCAATAGTTGTTTATATCTTACCATAACTGCCTCCTCGTATAGTTTAAAAATCTTCGCCTCTCTTTCACTTGCTGCTTCCATTTTCCTTGTATCCCGTGTTCATTTTACTCTCAATGTAGCTACAAATAAAAAGTGATGTGATATATCTCTGGCCCCTTATAAACATGTACATCTTGAAGTCTACAGAACAGTCTTTTATCTACCAATACATAGTCCATCAAACTACTGTCATTGCGCCCTACATCACATCTTGTATACTTATTTATCCTCTTTTTCTTAAAATATGTATTACCTATAGCCAAACTCCTTTCTATACAAAATTCAATCCAAGGCCCCCATTAATATTTACATCTGGCACCCCCCAAATTTAAGTACCACACCCTCTTTAAATGTGTCTCCTAATTCAGCATTTAAGTCGCCTACCACAATTACTCTCACTTGGTTCAAAAGTTCCTACACACTCGATTAACATCTCCCAAAATCTCTCACTCAACACTTCTCTCCTACACTCCGACCCTTATTTTAATTCACATAATTCTTGAATAGGTAAAACTGTACAATTAGCAAAAAATAATTGAAATTAAGTCCTTTCTATAATTTTCCCTTATACGTTTAAAGATATATATTTTTTCATATATGTTAATGTAAAAATTAATAATTTTTTACCCAAAAAAAGCTTACAAAACTTACCTAACCTTATCTTAAAAGCGTAATTTAGTTTAGCCTAATCCAACTAAATATATTTTACATAAGTTTACAATAATTTATTAATAAATAAAGACAATGAATTATGTTTCTTTTGTTGGGTTCAGAATGATTTTTGTGAAATTATTGTATTCACAAATATTCGCTTGCCTCATTCGGTAGGAAGAGCGTTGCCATATATATATATATATATATATATTATATTATATATATATATATATATATATATTTATATATATATTATATATATAGGAAAGAGGGAAATTATTTCCCAGTAAAAGTAGGCCTTAGACAAGGATGTGTGATGTCACCGTGGTTGTTTAATATATTTATAGATGGGGTTGTAAGAGAAGTAAATGCGAGGGTCTTGACAAGAAGCGTGGAGTTAAAAGATAAAGAATCACACATAAAGTGGGAGTTGTCACAGTTGCTCTTTGCTGATGACACTGTGCTCTTGGGAGATTCTGAAGAGAAGTTGCAGTGATTGGTGGATGAATTTGGTAGGGTGTGCAAAAGAAGAAAATTAAAAGTGAATACAGGAAAGAGTAAGGTTATGAGAATAACTAATATATTAGGTGATGAAATATTGGATATCAGATTGGAGGGAGAGAGTACGGAGGAGGTGAATGTATTCAGATATTTGGGAGTGGACGTGTCAGCGGATGGGTCTATGAAGGATGAGGTGAATCATAGAATTGATGAGGGAAAAAGAGTGAGTGGTGCACTTAGGAGTCTGTGGAGACAAAGAACTTTGTCCTTGGAGGCAAAGAGGGGAATGTATGAGAGTATAGTTTTACCAACACTCTTATATGGGTGTGAAGCATGGGTGAAGAATGTTGCAGCGAGGAGAAGGCTGGAGGCAGTGGAGATGTCATGTCTGAGGGCAATGTGTGGTGTGAATATAATGCAGAGAATTCGTAGTTTGGAAGTTAGGAGGAGGTGCGGGATTACCAAAACTGTTGTCCAGAGGGCTGAGGAAGGGTTGTTGAGGTGGTTCGGACATGTAGAGAGAATGGAGAGAAACAGAATGACTTCAAGAGTGTATCAGTCTGTAGTGGAAGGAAGGCGGGGTAGGCGTCGGCCTAGGAAAGGTTGGAGGGAGGGGGTAAAGGAGGTTTTGTGTGCGAGGGGCTTGGACTTCCAGCAGGCGTGCGTGAGCGTGTTTGATAGGAGTTAATGGAGACGAATGGTTTTTAATACTTGACGTGCTGTTGGAGTGTGAGCAAAGTAACATTTATGAAGGGGATCAGGGAAACAGGCAGGCCGGACTTGAGTCCTGGAGATGGGAAGTACAGTGCCTGCACTGCGAAGGAGGGGTGTTAATGCTGCAGTTTAAAAACTGTAGTGTAAAGCACCCTTCTGGCAAAACAGTGATGGAGTGAATGATGGTGAAAGTTTTTCTTTTTCGGGCCACCCTGCCTTGGTGAGAATCGGCCAGTGTGATAATAAATAAATAAAAAGAAATACATATATATATATATATTTAT